AAAGTGGCAGAACACCGTAAATGAGTTCCCTCCCAGGCGCACAGCCCAGGGCGTCCCTCTGGCCTGTAACCGTCGTACTCGCAGCTCCCGGAAATAGGGAAGTGCTTTTGGGCATTTCGCACACGCATCCTGTCGGAGGAGACGGAGCGGTATAAAGCAGGCCCTGCCGTAAAGGAGAACCCCCCACCCCCCAGCAGAGGTTACCCCCAGGCCGGATTTAAAATGGCTGCCTCAAAAAGCTCCACAGGAGATTCCCTCAAGAAAAACTTTGTCTCCCTCTATAAACAGACAGCAAAACAAGATGTCCGATGGACAATAAGGGCCCTTTCAATCATAGCCTCGTTCAGGGATACAAGGTCTGGGTGGTGGCGGTGGGGGGGTCCTCAGCCATAACCACCAAGATAAATCTAAGTGCCCCCTTCCCCCACAGTGAGCGGCCCCCTCCCTCGGTGTCCCTGGCGGATCCCCCAAACTAGGTTAGCTATCCTCACAGGTGTCGTTCGAGCCCAAGGGGTGGGGCCGAGGGGGGTCACAATTATGAGGTCAGCCGCTGCCCGTTCCCTGACAGACCTCTACATCATAAAGCACCCCCAAGAAGTCCCTGAGCCACATGCTCGCCTCCAGTCTCCCCGAAGTTCATCCAATTACCCCCAGACGTCGCATACCATCCAGATCCTAGTCGAAAACTTCGTGGGCCATTGCCGGACCCGGGAAACGGGGGCTCGCCCGAAGACGGCAGGGTGCAGTGCATCCCCCCCACCCCAAAGAGGCAGCTGCAGTGGGATCAGGCACAGTAACGCTCCTTCTGCACACAGAAAGTGCTTTAACATGGCTACGGGGCATTTAGACACAACTGCACTGAATTACATTTTTTTTTTTTATTATTTTTAATGAAAAAAATTAATAGGTGTAAAATTCAATTTAATTTAATAGGTGTAAAAATTAATGCTAAATCTAATGAAACTAATATTGCAAATCAATTTTAGACTTAATTGAATTTCATAGGTGTTTCCAGCTGTAACCCTTTCACAACCTTCCAGAAGCCATTCTGTTGACATGAGGCAAGTGACGGCAGACAATAAAGAGTCATAAATATATGGTGGGGGGGGGGAATGATGTCTACAGGGAACCTAGGTGCCACCCCCACAAAAAAATAAATAAATAAAAAATCCCCCTAACAAAAGCACAGACCACCAGACTGTAAGCTAATGTGTTTAACATTTTAGTGCAATTAAAATAAGACATTAATGCTGGGCCAGGTGGAGGTTATTTAAGCAGAAAAGCTAATGCTGTAATGTTGCTGTAACGCGTGTAAGCGGAGCGCGTGCAGAGACCCCACAAGGGCGGTGTGGATCACATCGCTGATGAAGACGAGCCTAATTTGTTTCCACATATTTTTCTGTTCTTTCTGGTGTATGAAGCCCCCACCCCCACGAAGAGAACAACATGCTGGACAGGCGTCTCACGTGGGATCTGAAAGTTCACTGAGGCAAAGGCCGAGGGCACCTCCAGCAACCGCGGTGCTCCCCCCCACCCACACCGGACCACCATACCTCATGACATGTCAGACCGACATGAGATCGACCAATAACCACAAGGCAACTAAGACTCACCAACCTGAATCCGCACAATGAAACAGCCTGAGACAACAGACTCAGGGTTTTACCATGACGGGGCTTCTGGGAGCTCTGGGGGGGGGGGCACTTCACCAGGTTCCTGCCATTCAGGTGGGCAATCAAGTGACCGCCTGTGACACGGCAGGGACCGTCTCCAAAGCAAAATCATCGGCACGCTCCCAGTGTGTTTGTGAAACGAATATTTCATCCACCACAGGACGGTTTCATGGCAAAGTGAAGCATGTCCAGCTTGTTTAGTCATGGAGATGCGTAAATCTGTAAAAATACCAGCGTGCCACCCCCTCCCTTTTTATCAAAAACACAGATGATGTGGTACTTTGGCCATGCTCCCTAAAAGGCCTGTGACATCATCGAGAGCGGGTGCCACTGCCAGACATAAAGCCATGACACCGGGACAGATCCTGTGAAGAACAGCAATTCGGCTTGCAGCGAGTCAACAAACATCTGGGACGGCAAGGTCCGTCTGTCTGCATGACAACGACAAGCCAAATCTCACAGGCCACGCCATTGGCCAGTCCACCACCCCACCCCACCTCCGCTCCTGCTGGGCGACCAATGGCTGAGGGAGCAGAAAAAAAGTTACCAGGGTGCAGTGCTCATGAAAAACTGACCAACTAACCCATTAAAAAGCAAAGGGATGAACACAGAGGGAACGAGAAAGAGTGACAGAGAGGGTGGGAGGGAGAGAATAGGCCCCATGAAATAAAAACAGGTACAAATCTATAATCAGACATGTGATTAATGCACCCCCCCCCTGCAGGAGATCAGGCAGGAAGTAGAAAGTAACACTGACATTCATAACAGTATCTGAACATTTCCTTAGAACCCAAAATGGAGGTTCACCTCTTCCATGACTCCTGGAGGAGGGGCAGAGGAGGCCAAGCTGCTGTACCCTAAAATAACCCCCATCACCATAACCTGAATCAATCTGAAGAGGTCTCCCAAATCCTCGTTCCCTGAACAGCAAATGCCTCGCCGGGGGGCCTGAACCAGTCTGTCCCAAGGGACACTCCCAAACCCATTCCCTCCCTTACTGTCACACAGTGCCCACCCCCCCAGGCCACAGCCGTACCCTGTCAGGACCCTGGGCCCCCCTTTCCTTTTTCGGCACCCAGAGGGCAGCCTTTTGGCTTGCTGCGGCACTGAGGCATGCCAGACACCCCCCCGACGGTCACCGGTCACCCCCGCCACCCCCGATTGATGATCCCTTTCCCATCTCATTGCATCTTCACACCTGATTCGTATCAAACCGTCATTTGCAGAGGATCCCTAATGAACCCTCTGCTCTGATAGCCATGGCGACCCCAGGTGACATTACTGCTGCTGGGGGCCACATTAACTGGGGAACTGCCGCCCCGCGTGCCCCCCACGCGTGCCCCCCCGCCCCCCATCCAGGTAATTGAATCCCCGGTTCAGACGACGGTGGCGACGTCCTCTAGACAGAGCCCAGAGGCACCGTCTCACCTTCCTAGGACCGGAAACGGAGCCCCCCCCCACCCCCGTACCCCAATTACCTCACAATGCCAACGGCACCTCAGCAAAGCAGACGCGGGAAGGCGGATCAGATGGCCGACGGGGAGGTCCATCGAACACGGGGGCGTGTCCAAGTGAGGCTGCCTCAGCCAATCAGCTCCATCCCTCACCGCACTGCCACCCCCAAATCGGAAAAGCCAGATGCATAAATGGAACATCACACCTGGACCTACAAGGCCCGGTCAAAGTGGGTGACTGGCTAAGTTCAAAGGCGGTGGCCCCCCTGACCCGCCCGCCCCCCCCCCTTACCACCGCAAAGATATGAACACTATCACACGGCAGCAGGGTGATAAATTGGGTTCCAGAGCCCAGTGATCATTTTATGCTTGTGCCTCCTCACCTCCCATAACCAGCTGAGAGGGCCCCCCCCCCCATCCCCATACGAGCCATGCTCCAAGATGGGAATGCAGGAACAAGAAAGATTCTGCCAAACACTGTGTTTATGGGGGGGGGGCGTTATTTACTTTTAAAATTTATAATTCATTGAATCTCAGTTGTTTTGAAAAGGACACGGGCACCTGTGGGGGGAGCCAATAAATTCAATCAGGGCCGAAGGGGGGAGACGGACGGGGGCGAATGGAAAAGCAGTTACGGCAGAGATGAGTGCGATCTGTGGCAGCACCCCGGGCCGGCACACGGCGGGGGTCAGGACGGTGGGGGAGGGGCCGGAGCGGGGGCACTGATGGCTTTCACCCGGCACTCTGACCCCCAGCACTGCCTCCCCCCCTCACTGAAGGCAGGGTTGGAGCCCCGCCATTGGTTGGTCTGCTAGAGTCACGTTGGCACAGTAATGGATCATAGCCATGAGCAGGAAGGGGGGGGGCAGGTCGTGACCTCCTCTATGTTACCAGCATCTTAACCAAAAGCAGAGCGACAGTGGGGGAAGACGAAGGGAGGGGCTGGTGTAACTGGGAGCAGCGCGGGGGGGGGGCGCAGGCAATAGCGGCTGCCTGGGTAACACCAAAAACCCGCAGTGATGGCGTGGCCAGAACAACCATGTGGTTCATCACTCAGCCTCCATCAAGGGTCCAAGAGGAGCCCCCAGATTACATTCATAATGAAGCAGCCTGCAGCCACGACCAATGGCGAAAAGCTCCGGCGTAGACCAAGCAGCCCAATGGTGGGCTGCGGCCCGACTGCGGCGTGCCGTGTGATCGCTCCCCTTTCACACCCGGAGATCCGTGTTCAAGGACTCCCCATGCCAGATGGGGAAACGCATCCACAGTCTGTTCGGTATAAGGAGAGTCCAGCGACGGCACCAAGGCAAACCTCTCTCAGTCAAAGTCGGCCCGACGCCCGTTACTCTCTCAGAAACCCTGAAACGCACAGCGCTGAACAGCGAGTCTCAGGGATTCACCGCTGATAGGATGGAGTCCCTTCCCCGACTGGACCGAACATTCACCAAATCCAAAGCAGAAACAGCAGACACACAGTGTATCAGATTCACCACATGCAGCAAACCTTGCAGCCCTTGGAACACAGAACCATCAGCAAGTCACGACATGTGGAATTATCCCTAAATGAAAATAATTTTTTCACAATGAGAACGACACATCTTCGAAACTCATTAAACCTTCACCAGTTTCTCTTTGAATTCAGTAACATTCAGGAGGTGTGGATCAGGGTGGAAGCCCTGGAACATGCAGGAGATCCAGCAAACAGATTTAACAAAAAAAAAAAACAACGACCCCCCCCCACGCCACATGACCACCATACAGGGGGTGGGACTTCGTCTCCGTCTGGAATCACATCCAGCAGAGGCAAGAAGAGGATCGGCAGGGGGGTGGGTGCTGAATATTCAACGAGTGGGTGGCGTGGGGGGGGGCTTACCCTGTGTTGATGGAGATGATCTCGATCAGCGGGTTCTTCCTGATCTTCGGCAGGTCCAGACGGGCCCCCCCCAGGCGCTTGCCATTATCCTTCTTCTGACCCAGAAGACGAACTGAGTGCCCTTGAAATGGCAAACAAACAGCAGTCAGGACAGTGAAGCCCCCACAGCACGGCAATAAAGCAGCAACTATTTACATTGGCAGGGGGCATGAGACAGAAGGGCCCCCTGGGGAGGTTACAGAAAGGATAGCGTGTGGTGGACAGAGATGGATGGATGGATGCAGGCCCCCCATCCCTGAGATCCATCCCAGCATGCTTGTAGTAAGGCCACAGACTCCTCCCAAATCACAACAGCTATTACTCTTCGTACCATTGGGAACCCTCCCCCCCCCCCTTTCCTTCGGGGGATCCAGATAACAAGATCAATAAAATCAAGCATGGTTAGGGGGATTGGGGGGGGGGAATCAGTGGGGGGCTCACAAGTCTGCAACCTGAACAAAGTGAAGATCATCATCGCAAAGAACCAACCAGCAACAAGCCAGCGGTCACGTGGAAATTCCACAGTTACGCGATTACAGAGGATGGGGGGGGGCTCACAGTGGGGCCCAGTGATGGGCTCAAGGATCCGGGTTCTGTCCCAGTGCCTGGAGCTGAACTCCCGGTGGCCCCCATTGATGCCATCGACAGACGAGCTCGCGCTGAACCCCATAACCAGACTGTCATCAGTCCGCAACGTCCCAAATCGAAACAAAACAAAACGAACAAGAACAAAACATGGCAGGAATCCACAGACCAGAATCACGAAACACTCCGGGTACAGAATGGCACCAAAACCCAAATTTAATTTCAGACTTCATGAAAGAGGCGTCCTGCCAGATCTGCACCCCTCTCTCAAATGTCTCAAAGACAATTTCGGTTCACTGGTTCTGGGAGGAAACGCATCTCAAGCCGCACCACTACTAAGCAGGCTCATAACCTACCGGCACCACTGCCTGGCCCTCCTCTCAGCTGGGCTCAAAACCCATAACTGCCTGAGCTGCTTCATTTCCACACACACACACACACACACACACACACAAACACACAATTCAGGGACGCTGATCCGACTAACTGCACATTTTACTTGGAAGGCTGAGCCAGGATGGGATTTGAACCCAAACCCCAGCCCTGGAGGTGTGGAGCTACAGTGCCAGCCAACTGTAACTAATGATAATGGTCATTCTCCCAGCCACTTGCCCCCCCAGGCCTTGGCGCCTGCCTTTTGCCCCTGTGATTTGCCCCCCTTTTACGTGAGTCCAGAACAGATGCTCCTCTATCATCATTTTGGGTTTGTTAACCCCCCCCCAAGCCCCAATAACATCCTTGCTGCTCGGTCTTGTTCCTTTACAAAGCAGCTGTTTCCTCTGTCAACCAACCAGATTTCAACTGTGGCCATCGCCATCCATCACAGGCAGCCAATCAGTGGCCCCCTGTCTGGTCATGTGATGCTTGTTACATGATCCTTAACACTCTATCCGTTTGCTCTGATGGATGCACAGAGGTCCCTTTCTGCCCAAAATAAGTCGCTGAGGTCATAAGTCCAGCCAGATCACACTACAACCTGATTAAACCAAACATAGTAATAATAAATGTGACATTAGCAAGGAGGAAGAACAGAATATTCACCAGGCAGTAATTTGGGGCAGGCATGGAGGTGAGGGGGGGGGGGCACACTCATATAATC